TTATTATTATTATTATTAGATGCTCTGATCACATCTGCACTGTGAAATCTGACTGAACAGGCTTTACTAACTTTACTACTGTATTTACATTACATACCATCATGTCAGTTTTAAGGTAAATCCCCTGTTTTGCCTTATAGCAGAAAACAGGAGTGGACTTATTTAATTTCAAACACATGATTTGGGTCAGAATGAAGAGGAAATAAGAAGTTACTGTTTACCTCTAATGCTGTGTGATGGAGCTCTTTTGTTTGTTCATTTTCTATCTTAGAAACACTAGCACCAACGACCCCACCAATGTAAGAAATATCTTATAAAATCACATTATTATTTTATGTAAAAAAAATATCAAAGTATAAATTAGTTTATAAGCATATATTTATCTATAACCGTGGTAAAATTGCACCTTAAACGTTTTCTTTGTGTAGAACCAGCAAATCCACCACCAGAGGAATTATTAGTACCATTATTACTACCTGATCTATATTATTTGGTGTAGATATGAAATGTTCATAAAACATGTAAAAATGTTTTTATCTGAGATGCTTTTGTTCAAGGTTAAGGATTATGAAAAAAAAGGGGGTAAACAATGACTTTCTTCAAAGCGTATCAGTACAACTCCATCATCTCCTCGAGCGACATCTGCAGCTCCACAGACTGCAGGGAGGAGGCGCCGCCTGCAACCGCCATTTTCTTCAGTAACTCCATTGAAGTCAGGACCACCTGAGACAGGAACAAAGTCAGATGCAATGACAACAGTGACAAGAACAAGATGGCAAATTTGAGCTTGACAGGAGCCATGACATTTTTAGAAAGCTGGAGCAACAAGACATGTCAAGTTTGTTTTCTTTAAAGTTTTGTATGGGCTTTTGATTTCTGAGCATGCACTCCACTGTGGAGGCTCGAAGGCAGTGAAACCTCTCACGCCGGAGGGATCAGCTGTCAGCGCCGGTATATTCAGCCTTTTGTTCCCTCAGTTGCTATTAATCAATACTGAGACAAAATTGCCTCTTGAAAAGCGCTGCTGACTACAGCTCCCTTGAGTGGCTAATTTTGGGGGTTTGATCACTCATGAAATTTGATTGAGGTATGTGCAGCCAAAAGTAAAAAAACACTTCTGCCAAACTGAAATACTGCTTTCAGGTGTTTCCGAGCGCAACACTGTGTGTTTCAATAATTCAAAAGGTTCTTTCACCTCCACTGTGATGAGTTTCTTCTCCCAAGGCCTGTTGTCTGGGTCTGGCCACTTCTCCCCGAGGCAGAAGAACAGGGAGCAGGGAGGGCAATCTCCACCATTAATGAAGTCCATTATTCCTACAGGGGAAAGGACAATCAGTCACTGTATTCAGCTAACAAGATACGGCACATGTATTCCCACTTACGCCAACAAAAAGTGCATAATTACTCCATTCACCCACCTCTCACAAAGTCCTTGAACATGTACAGCGGTTGAGGCTGCAGTTTAGAGATCTCTTGGGGCTGTCTGGTCCTGTCAAACTTGGACACGCTCCAAAATGCTTTGATTTCACCGCGTCGCTGGCCGTAGACCACGTGACCTGACAGCCCCAAGTCCAACCCATTGCCCAGCTTGTCCAGGATGCGTTGGGTCAGATTAGCTTGAGTTTGATCCAGCATGACTCCAGGACTTGGCAGAGAGACCCGGGAGAGGCCTGACTCGTGATCCACCAAAGCTGTCCCCACGAGTTCAGGGCTGATGTGAAGACAACATAGATATTAAGTTCAGTAGTAGGGTAATATGCCTGGCAGAGCCCTGAGAAAGGAATGGGTTATTAAAAAAGGAACATTTTAATCAAATTCGACATTTTTCAAAATATGCTTATTTGCTTTCTTGCCCAGAGTTAGATGAGAAGATTGATGCCTATTTTGTATGTACATACAGTAAATATGAAGCTACAGCCAGAACAGTTTTTTACATATTTTGTACCTTAAAACAAACCAGATGTCAAATGTAATTAGTGAGCTTTGGAGGTGCTGGAAAGTGGATTTTGTTACTTCTGGACAGAGCCCGCCTTATGCTAAGCTAAACTAATCGTCTCCTGGCTCCAGCTTTATATTTACTGCAGATGAGTCTTTCACTCTCTGCAGGAAAGAATAAAAGAGAACAGGCATATGTTACTTTTCTGTCCTCAGAATGATCACATTTGGGTGAACACTACTGGCACCATGCCTAAAAGGTGCTGTGTCGCGTTTTGCACATCAAACTATTAAAACAAAACCCAGTTTACAATTTTATTTACTTCCCCAAAGAGCAAAGGCCAGTAAAAGAAAGGTTCTGTGGCTTCAGGCCATCAGCAGAGAGGATAAAAATAGTAAACTGTGGGACCCAGACAGTCAATATGCCCATGTGTACATCTATAGCAAACACTTCATCACAGGTTGATGATATTGATGTGTGCCGATTGTGCCTGTAGATTGAAGCGAATCAGAAAAGGGTGTTTTTATTGTGAAAAAATATGTCCCTACCATTAAATACCTCTTTGGTTTGACAATCTGTACACTCATTAACCCTCTTTTCTTTCTTTCTTTCTCTCTTTGTACATAATGAAATCAGTCTATATAACGACCCGGATGGGCTGCTCTCATCTATAGCATATTTCCCCAAATATCAAACTGTTCCTTTCATTATGTTCATTATTCATTATGTCAAATTGGAGCTAAACTGGACATATTGGTCATTTCTTTTGATGAAAGGTTTATTTGATGTTACCTGTAGACTAAACGGATTCCAGCTTCATTCTCGACCAGCTGCTCCAACACCTTCACCCCTCTGTAGTACACGGAAACCCTGAAATGAGTCTCTAAGGATTCAGAGAGAGGAGAAGTGTATGAGAAAAGGTGTTTAACAGCTCCACTCCTAACTGTATTCCCCTTTTAAACACCTTATTCATATGACTGCTATTATTCAAATTGAAGGCCCTCATTGTTTTAATGGCCTTATTATGACATTTTATGAGGGATGACATTTTTATTTTTCCATTTCATCTTGTACAGTAACATCCATCAACTTACTGAAATTATCTCCATCTCTGGTCTTGTTCATGGTATGTAGGAACTGCTCTGCAAACTGCCCATCATAGGCCCCTCCCACGGCTCCCTCCATTGGATGTGCCCGTTGCTCAGGCAACCCAGCTTCACCGACTGCACCCTCAAACGGTACTGGATACTGCTGTTGCCCAGGCAACGTTACTCCACCAATCACAACTGGGTTTTTGAGCTGTTGTTGCTCGGGAGGAGGCTCAAAGCCTGCAGTGCCCTCTGTGGAAAAGTTGGAGAAACTGAAAAACTATTTTCTAAGTAAGTACCTTGGATACTTGTTTTTCTGCTTATACTGCAGCAGTGAGGAGGAAATCAGTCTACCTGTTTCAGGGCCAATGTTCAGTCCCTTCAGACACTCCTGGAGAATATCCTGGTTGGCAGTGGATTCTGCTGGCAAATTTTGATCAGTTCAGAAATATTCAGCAAAGTGACTCCACATTCCTCGTTTTTATCAATCATTCCTTTGATACAAACCTCATGCCAAGATAAAGTAAATAGATAGAGAGAGGATCCCTTACCTGAAAACACAGTTTCTTCTGGAAGATAGATGTCAAAGCATGGGACACCCTGGGTCTAAAATATCACAGACGCACATTTGAATGAGTTCATATGCAAATATATAATTATTCAGAATCTCCATAGCATTTCAATTTGACTTCCTGTGTTCCTACAAGTCTTACTTCTTGTGTAGGAAGGCCAATTTCCTCAAACAAATCCAGGTCATCTTGGTCCTGGGATCCAGCAGAAGAGTTAGCTTTGAGAGTGAAGGCAAAGCGCTCTGTTAATATCTGCGGCTTACTATCTTTTAATCATTTATTTAATCTTATAATCCCCATTACAATTGGTATTGACTTGAATGCCCTGCATTTGCACACTGCCTTAATAAATCTCACCCACAGAAACAGAAATGCGGACATAAATGTATGCAAGACAGACACTAATGTGGAGGTAAGGAGGTGATTAGATATGTACTGTACATGTGAACATAAATGAGCAGCATCTGTCATGCATCTACTCTATTATCTAAGTGTAGTGATATGAAGAACCAACCGATGTGCCTCCCCTTCCCGGGATTCTAGTTAATATACACAAGCTGAATAATTCTGCATGAATAAAACTAAGAGAGAGAATGTGTGTGTGGATTTTGCAAGCAGGAGAACAATCGGTTCTGTATTATTTTGTGCATTTGTAATGCCAGTGAATACACATCTAATTCCAGTTGAAACCACTCCAACTAGCAGCTACAGTGAAGGACCAAATGTATCCTCACCTGCTGATCCTGACTCATCCGGCCAGCGAAACACTTTATGGGGGTTAGCAGCGTCATTCTTGTTGTCAGAGAGCAGTTTGAAGCCTTTGGCTCGGAGGGCACTGCGGAAGTTCCTCTTCCAGACTGAGGCGTCACCTTGAGCCCGACCATTGCCACTCACCTCTGCCCAGGCCTGCAGGGAGGAAACAGGAAGAATTACACTTGATCGTGTCAAATTCATATATATGATTACTTTATACTATACTGCCGTTGATTATTTTAAATACCATGTCATTAATGACGACTGATGATTACCTTAAAGATGAGAACGTCAGTGTCGGAGGAGTCCTGTCTTAAAGCGTGTTTCCATGGGATGGAGAACTCTGTTCGCTCCGGGTTGGTCCATTGGACACCAGGATACCTGCCGCTGTCAATGTGGGACCGCAGCCACGGGATGAGCAGTGGTTTAGAATGAGACATTCCTGCAAGAGCAAGAACAAAATGTCACTGTCAATGTCGGCGGGGGGGTCACTGCATTGGTTTGCTGTCACATACGTCAGCTCTGAGCCTTTCTCACTGAACTGGAAGCTAGACATTCGAGGACATCACCATGAGCTTTGGGAAGACAGCAATCAACATTCTTCGCCATTTTTTAATCCATTCATTGAGAAAATGATCAACAGACTAATCAATAATGAAAATAGGATAATAGTTGCAGGCCTGATCAAGAGGCCATTGCACTGAATGCAGCAGTGAAAATGAAAGAAGAAAAAGGTTGGAGGACTGAGCTGAGTGATGTATAATCACCTTCATTATTCGTGTATATTTATAGGCTTATATTAATGATTACAATTTTCAGGTCCATCTTAAAATATTATTTATGCCTGTAGAGGGCGCTATTTAGACATTTTACAGCTGGATTGATACAAATGCACTGTCATCCACCAGAAATAATATGAATAAATAAGTAAAAGGGGGCAAATAAAATAAAACCCAGCTTGAGCTTTGCATGTTTGAATTAACTGCTCATTCAACTGTCGGAAATACATTTGTAAAAGATCCTTATGCATGCACTCATTAGAATGAGGGATTACTCTATCTGTTCCCACTAAATTATACAAAAAGTAATTAGAAAAAAGCAATATAGAGTATGTGAGAATGTGCAGTGTTATGGTGCAGCTGGGAACAGTTTACATTTGCAATTCCTGAATTCAAATTGAAAGAGGAAGCAGGCGAATATGAGGCCAGGGTCTGCTTCAGCCTCAAAAATACTCCAATATGAGGCAAAACAGCCCAGTGCTTCACTTAAAGGCTATTTCATTATTACAGCAAAGTATTCAAGTATTCAAGCATGGAAATTAAACGCACTCATATTGAGGAATTCCTCCTTGCAATATGTCTGTATTAGGTCTTATGGATTCTCCATAGGACCACTCCTTGGATTGTTGCGTTTAAAGACTGCGGGAGTGAAATAGGCTACAAAGTTACACAAAGTGGAAATACTCAAATACAACAGTTCAAGTCTGAAACTGGATATCTATTATACAGAGCAGCCTAAATATAGTAACCCCCCCCCCCCCCCACAC